GTTCCTTCCGCAGTGCTGAGGAGTTGGTTTCCCCACTCAAGGGAGACCGGAGTGGCACTAGGGTCTGTCGCTACAGCACACATCATCCCTTTGCCATGGCTACGCGGCCTAGAACGCTCGTCTCCAACCACGCCTAGGCCCGCATGTTAAATCGTTCCGTCTCCTCAGTGCTACGACGGGTGGGCTCCCTACTGCTCTTGTCCTCCGGCTCGGTCCGGCCTCGTTCATACGTACCTCCGGCTCGGTCCGGCCTCGTTCATACGTAGGACAGTCCCGAGCATAGTGTGCCACACCGCCACACTTTTTGCATATTTCCCCTGGACGTTTGGTACGTTTCCCCTTGCTGAGGCAGACAAGTGCCAGATGTCCGCGACCCTGACACTCATAGCAGTTCGCGTGGGCTCCCCCAGGTCGATTTTCAATTTCCTGGCGCCGACTAGGTCCATTAGCTTGGATAGCAGCCCTAATGGCTCGATTGGTCTTCCAGCACACTCTGCTTGGGCTCGTAGAGCCGTGCTGCGGCTGTCGCCGCTTGTTCCCACGATTGATACTTCACTTGCCCGTTATTGGTTATTAGAAGATGGGAGGTTCGTCGGTAGCCCGGTGCAGTAATAGTCAGCGAGTTCGTCGGGGGCAAGACCCGAACCACGCTCCGCTACAGCCGCAAACCAGTCCGAGTATTCCTTCGGGTTACCATTCCACCGTACTTTAGCCAACTCCGTTAACAATTGACTCTGCGACATTGTTTTGTCAAACCGCTCCAAAAGCCTGCGCTGTACTGTCGCCCAGTCGCTCAGGTCGATAGTTCTCCGTAGATACATCCAATACGTTAGAGCCGGGACCACAAGGTAGTCAATTACTGCATTTCCCCACTCGCGCGGCTCCAATGCCATCTGGGTGTACCGGCGCTCGATGCGCAGCAGCAAGGCCTGCATAGTGCTGCCGTCTTCTGGTAGTATGGGAATCGTTGCGCCCGATTCCACATTCCCCCCTCTAACAGTTCTTATCACACTCATAGCGGACTGGAATTGGTCCCACATGACGAAGGGAGTGCCCCCTGGCATAACGTTGGTCATAGGCGTCACCTGCGGGGACACCTTCTTATGCCCATGCTGCCGCTCTGCCACGGTGGGCTTCGGAGTACCATGGCGATGATGGGCCGGCGTCCCGCTCGGCATTTTGTTGACTGACATTGTAGAAGTCTCCTGCTGTGTGGGGCCGATAACGCGTCCGTTGCGGAGATGCATCCCTTACCGAGCTATATAGGTGTGAATCATTAAAACATAGTATTTCTACTCCCAAGCCCGGAAAGAATAAAGATTTCTTTCCGGAACAGCCCGCAAATGCAGTGCACAGCACCTACTGCTGCGACTACGCTGCTACCCGCCCCCTCGAGCAGGGCCTATGATCGGCACCTAACGTTGGCCCATTTCCTT